CATCCTTGAAAAAAAGGATCCTTTTGACTGACATCTGTTTCATGGTGTTCTATGTCTTTTACTCCCTGCCTTATAAAAATAGAGCTAATTAATTGAAGTTCTGGCAAAGAGAAGGGAGTAATCCCTGGCCTGTGGCCAAGAATTCTCCTCCACCACCAACATTCCCACACATTCTGTGGCTCCCCAACCCAGTTATTCTCCGTGACATCTTCTGGCATTTTTCCTTCCTAGCCTGTATGAAATTTAGAATTACAGTGTCCATTTATCTCCATGTTTAATGTGTTTTCTTCCCATTAAAATTCAAGCTGCATGCCATCCACGTTCTTGTTGGTCTTGTTCATTCTGCTCACCCTGTCACCCTAGTGCCTACCACAGTGCTTGGAATTTGGTTAGGAATCAAATACACATTGAATGAATGAATAAATAAATAATTTAAGTGAATCAATTTTTTAAGTGGATTCTTAAGCTCTGTCCGGCTGTGTCATTTGAAGAAGAGTGTTGACAAAGTACATGGGTTTCTGATGGTATCTTTGCATTCACTCAGTAAACACTTTATTGAGTGCCTGTCACCAGGTCAAGCCCTGGAAATGCCAAATGAATAAGATGGATTGATGCCCTCGGGGACCTCAGAGACTAGCAGAGGGAAAGGCACATATATGTGTAAATACCTGCAGTTCTTTATGAAAGTGTGAAATTCAAGTGTGTAAATATGGACTATTGGGGAACAGGGGAGAAGAATTTAATTTGCCTGGGGCATGAAAGTTTTTATAGAGCCAGTGATATTTACGCTGGGCCTTGAAGGAGGGGAAGTATGGCAGTTAATTAGCAAGAACAAGAGCATGGGGTCAGAGACGTGAAAATGAGTGGCATGTTTGGACAGTATTGTGTATTTGGGTGGGGTAGATTGTAAATGCTGCACTAGGAAGTTTGGACTGAATCTTAAAGGAACCAGGGAACCTGCTTAAGTGACGAAGACACAATAATAGGTATAGGTAACAATGTTCAGATTTCACTGGAAGGGAGTAGAAGCCAATCACTGCAAATATACGGTTCATCAGTTACAATGATGTTAATTTAAAGTTCATAATAATGTATCTTTCATAGAGATGAATTTTAGAATTTAATAGAGTTTGATATTTTGCCAGAAATTCAAAGCTCTTTTAAAATGTATTTTTCTTGATGAAGTTTTAAAATTTATATTTATGTTGGATTTTTTAAGTTTTGAAAATTATTTTTACATTATAAATTATTTTGACAACAGAAATCACTGCAGAATAAACTTTATGAATCTTCATGTGAAATGTCATTGAGTATTTTGGATGCTTCCAGATGAATGAAATGTCCAGGGCTTTTCCCTACCCTTGTTAAAGGCAATGCTTTATTGTCAATACCTTATTTTAAAAGTAAGCTGAAAACTTATCTCTTGCAGTTCCACGGCAGCCTTCAAATGACTTGTTTGAAATATTTGAAATAGAAAGAGGAATCAGTGCAGATGATGAGGCAAAGGATGATCCAGGTAGGCACTAGGATGACATGTTCGTCTTTCCCTCCATTTCAACTTAAATTATAGATTGTTCAGTCCTGTTGGGGAAAATTATACATATTTTTTGTATACGTGTGTGTGTGTGTGTGTGTGTGTTTTACAAATCTGTCAAACCATTTGAGCAAAAATACTTATGAATCATCAGTCTCTTTTTAAAAAAATATATTAAGGTGGTGTTTGAATTGCAAGAAGGAAATCATATTTTATAAATGACGATGTAACAAGGTCATGATTTGGCAACATTCGTGTGTTCTATTTTTGCAGCTGAGCACATGTACACAATTGTGCTGAGAAAGGATTCTTGTAATTTCCTTTCAGTCTCATGGAAAGAAATTCTGGTGGGATATTAAATGTTGAGATGGGAGAATGCTTGTTATACAGATACCCTGGTCTTTAGATTAATTTGTTTATTGAGTTTGTGATCTACCCATCCTTCTGGTCTTTTCCTTGTAGGTGTTCTGGTACACAGTTGTAATTTTGACCATGGACTTTGTGGCTGGATCAGGGAAAAAGACAATGACTTACACTGGGAACCAATCAGGGACCCAGCAGGTAAAACCATTTCATCTACCTCTTCCTGCTATACTTTTCATTTTGATCCTATACTAATCAAGTATACTGTAAAACATCTCTGTCTTTACTTAATATATGGGATTAAAAAAAAGATCATGCCAGTATTCGTGTGCTTTAAGTGAGCCAGATTTGTTAGCTATTAATTAGAATTATATTATGGAAGACAAGAAGTTAATTAAAAGGCCAGCTAATTTCTCTCAAAAAGTTTGATAAGTAAAATATGTAGAGTCATTCTAGCAAATAATTTTCAAGTTATCTGTAGTGGCAGTTTAGAGGAGAAGAAAAGAGAGAGAGAGAGAGGGGGGGGGGGCGGGGGAAGGAAGAAAGGAAGGAAATAAGGGAAGGAGGGAAAGAAAGAAATATAGTGGTATATCAGCCGTGGTAATGATCCTTGTTTGTATTTTCAATTATGACCCTTTAAAAATATATTGTTTTTAAAGATCTGAGTGGTAATAGAAGGTGGCAGTGGAAACTTCTGCAAAGTTGGTTATCTCTCTGAAAACAAATTCACTCAGATGCTAGGGAAAATAGTTACCAGTTACCACCGCTCATTCCATAAGACTGGATTAGTAGAAAGGTAGATTTAGATATAGTCTCTTGGAAAGTTTATATTCTTTAAAATTGTACAATTCCTATTTATCTAAAGTTTTAGTACTTATGTTTTGTCTTCAAGTTTCAGGAAATAAGCTACATTTTGTTTTTGTCTTTTGTCTTCCCTTAGTAATAAAATGTTTTTGTTGTTGTTGTTGTTGTTGTTGTTGTTTTGAATGAGACCACTTTAACGGAAGGGTGAGGAGTTTCATTTTTCTCTTTTTGTTCTCCTGATTCTACATTCAAAGAATAAATGATACAAGATTTATTTATTTATTTATTTTAGAAGCCTAGTTCTTAAATACTGTACCAGGTATATAGAAAAGCAAAAAACACACAAAAGTTAACTTGAGAGAGCTTAGGATGTGTTAAAGCAGTTCTCTTACAACTTCAGTTAAAATTCAGATTTTCATGCATGTCTAATAGGCTCCCTAGGGATACCTCTGCTGCTAGTCCCCAGTGTACATTTTGAGAACAAAGTATTAAAAAAAAATTTATCCAAAACCATATTTATTAGATCCCTGAAAATCAAATTGTAACAGAAATATATTAAAATAAAAATCGGCAATAAACTTTCAAAAATATGAATATTTAGTAAATTCAAATGGGTGTTTAGATTTCTTTTATCAAACATATATCATGTAACATCTCACATAGTACACACATTCATTCTTTTTCTCAAATTACTCCTACTCATTTGAGATTAA